AGCAATATCCAATCTATTTTTTAATCCCCCCGCCCCCAGTTTCAGATAGTGGTTCATTTTTGTTTCCATATATTGACATGGTTGCGTGTGTGTGTGTGGGGGGTCAATTCTGTCAATTCTGTGATGTTCTGATAATTTAAATGAGTACTTGGCCAAGTCTCATTCACAAAACCAATTATTAGAGGACTTGGAAGCATGTTGCTCTGCTATTTGTCCCTTGCTCTTCTACTAGTCTGCTTAGGCAGGTTCAGAGAGAAACACACACATATGCAGAATGAAAGCAATTCCATTGTTGCTCTTTTATGACCTGATTGTATCGCTGTGTGTGTTTATGTGCCCATATACATGGGATCTCCTGCTACCTTCAAATCCATATGATCTTCTGCCCTTAAATACTTCCTTAGCTATTTATATAACCTATAGCACAGTCCCTGTTAATCTTTGTGTTCAATCTGTCTGCAGTTCCTCAACTCTTTCAAAACTTTCTTTCATGCTCCTCATTCCCACAAGTCTTATCTTGCTAATATTATTCATCTGGTGATACTGAGTTTGGATTATCATTTTTGTCATAGCCCACTTAGAACTTTGTTGTTAGAAAATCACACAAACGCATCAGTGGCAGTGTATGGGAAAGATTAACTTCTAATATTTAAAAAATGGTAAATCATTGTGTATATATATGTACATGTATGTATATGTGTATATGTATATGTATGTATGTATATATGTATACATACACACACATACACACACATATACATACATGTACATATATATAATAATAAGGGCCTGTACATAATAAGGGCCTGGTGGCTCAGCAGACTAAAAGCATTGTGATTAACACCAGCTGTCTGCAATTACTGTAAGTTCGAATCTCAGGCTCAAGGCTCAAGGTTGACTCAGCCTTCCATCCTTTCTAAGGTAGGTAAAATGAGGACCCAGTTTGTGGGGGCAATAAGCTGACTTTGTATAAATATATAAAAGGATGAAGGCTATTGCTGAGCACATTGTAAGCCGCCCTGAGTCTCCGGAGAAGGGCGGCATATAAATCAAATTAAATATATACACACACACACAAACACACACACACACACACACACACACACACACACACACACACGATTTACCGTTTTTTAAGTATATATATTTGCATAGCTAGCATTGTTTCTCCAATAGGAATGGAGATATCTTCTTTTACCAATATATGCCAAATGTATGCAATAAGGCAGACTCCAACACCCCATTTCCATCAGTGGAATGTTTTCCATCACCAACTAGAAAATGAGAAAAAGAATAATTCTGCCTCAGTCATCCGTGCACCCTTAAAATCTGCTCTGAAAATGTTCAAAAGCAGCTATAGAGGGTGCCTAGGTGGACAGCAAGAATGATTTTGCCACAATAAATCTATTTCTTAAATGAAAGAAAACTAATGGTCCCATCTTTTTGAAAACAGATCTGCCATTTTAGAATTTCCTACATTTTGGTTTTTAAAATCAGAAATACTTTTCTGCAAATATTTATTTTGAAATGGCTTCTAAAATAATTAAATCATTCCTTTTAATTTGTATCTGGTACATTTGACAACTTTCTGAAGGGCTAGCTCTCTAATACGCCATATTTTTTCTATATATCATAAAAGCATTTATTCCAAACAATGAGTCTATCTGTATCAGAGTTTTCCTAGCTGTGTGATGAGCTTCCCTTGGGAAGGTACAGGCAGAATCCAGGAGGAGGTGTGAAGAACCTTATTTTCCAAGTTTCATTTGTATTGTTTTCATTGTTCATTTGTGTTTATTTTGGAGTTTGGGTTTTTAGGGGAGGTGTGTACATTGAGATTATTCTAAAGGGAGGTATGATGACATAAATTTAGGAACCCCTGATCTACATGGAATGATGTATTTAGATACCAACAGTGCAGCTGAAATCCAAACCACTAATTATTCCACAGTTGAAATACCTGGAAATTAGGAATGTTCACACAAATATACAGTACATACAAACAACTTCTGTAGAACTCAGTTTGATATCTACATCATATTTTGAATATCCTGTTTTAGCCCGCAAAGATAAGAAACAGCAGTCATGAACTATGTGTCCTTCCACAATTGAACAATGGGCCTGTCATTCATTATTGGTTATAATATTATGATTGGGACTACCCATGTTCCATCAACTTCATGATTGAACAGAACTTTGTTGAGGCTCTATTTCAGAAGTATCCAAGGCTCAAAAAAGAAACGCTGATATCTTTAATTGGCTGAAATGATTGACTTCACCCTTAAGGTGGATACTAGATGTTGCAAAAGAATGTTAACAGCCTATATGGAACTTCTAGGTGACACTTTTTATACTGCTAAATTAGATTTTATTCATCCTATCATCAAGGCACAAAAAACTACACAGAATTATAAGATTAAGTTGAAGACAGATGAACCTGGAAAAGCCTGTCTATATGGCCACTAAATGCTAACACCAATACATTATCATTGAAACAAACTATAGTATATAACAAAAGAAATGAAAATATTATAACAAATAATATTTTATAGCGTAGACATGTGTCCTGTTATTGTTTTTTCTGTAAGGGCAGTTTATTATTTGCTAAACTGGTACTGTCATTGGAGATCTCCTTTCAATGCAGGCTTACAATGTGATTTTTATATAAACCGATCAACAATATCAAAGGAAGTTGAAATTAAAAATTAAACCAGTAAGAGGTAAAGCCAAAAATCAAACAAAATAGTCCTCCACAAGTGTGCAGAGGGAAAGGCTCAGAGAGATACATTGTCAGTATCTAACTTATTCTGAAACACAGAAGACTCACTTCGTTTTATTCTGCTTTTTCTCCTCAAAAATGCTGTTCTTCACAAATTTGGCTAGGCACAATCATGGCAAGCAGCAGTCCTGGGCGAACAGTGAAAGGAGAAGAATCTGACAGTGAATGGTGACCTGAATGCACAACCTCCTCCCCCTCCTCTCCCTCCTGCCATCTTTTATTAAGAGAGACAACAAGTATTGAGGAAGACTTAAAAGATTCTGGGATGTGATGACAGCTTTTATTCGGGAGAAGAAAGAAGCAAGGTGATGGGATTTGGGTCCAGACTAAATCTTTAGGGCAGATAAGTCTTCAGTATAAACCAATAAGGCCAGAAATAGAGAGCAGCTCATTTTAGAATAATAAAAAGCTTTTGACTTTATTAGACTTTTATGGCATCTTTCTCCCCAGAGACATGAGGAGTGCACTTGGATTTCTTCCTTTATGGAATTTGGCTTGCAGCAGCTTGTGACACCACGCCTGAGAGACAGTATCAGTTCTGCACACCAAGGACAAATTTTTGGTTCCATACTCCCCACCTAGCCCCACCCTACCTTTAAACATACACTCTTTAAATCTAGGCAGAACATTGCTGAACTCCTAGCGCATCTCAGAGGCTGTGTTTCATGCTTACCATGTTATGTCAAACAACTTTCCTTCAGAGAAATAGGTACTTATAAAATTAATATTTAGCCTCTCCTTCAGACAGTTCCAGAGATCAAATCAGAAATACTGCAAAATAACTTGCCATTTTAAAATACATCAACCGAGGTACAGAAAGTGCAGCTGGATCATGGCCACATCTCTGAGAATGATGATTCCAGAGGGTTTTCTGGGACCTGAGAGCCACAACTGGATTAGAGGAAAAGGAAAGCCAGAGGCAAAAGCCTTAATGATAACACTTTGTGCCAATGTCTCAATTACCAAACATAGCGAGAATCCCAGAGCCTTAGTGACATAGACTAGACTACTAGTATTTCTGGAGATAGATAATGAGTACATATTAAGGTTCACAGTTTACAGCACAGGCAAGAAATTTGCCAATGAAGTGGCGGATTGTCTGTTAGACACTAAACTATAGCAATTCCTATGATGAATGTTTTTCGCACTGCATTTATGGTTGCCTGATGCAACTTACATCTTCAAATGTTGCAATTCATTTCTGAAAATGCAGACTGGTGTCCATAGGATGACTGTTTAAAATGTAATGATTATACATGCTATACGGTTCAGCTACCGGGGCCAGTTGGAGATTTCAACTCTCACCATTCATCATCTGGATGCAGCCAATTTACATCAAAGCATTTCATTTTATCAAAGAGGCATCCAATCCCAGAAATGTAACACATTTCTTGCTTATTAAGTTCCTGTTTAAAATTATATTACTTTTACGGGATAGTGAGCATTAACATGTTATTTCCATGGGACATGAGCACCAAGAACAAAGTTTTTCATTTATCAGCTTAGTCCTTTCAATCCAAAGCAAGTACTCCTCCTTGTGGCCAACTGCAGCAAGGAGAGAGCACCTACATTTTAATCAAGTTTGCAATATTCATGCCTTTTTTAAAATGACAGCGTGCTGTTCTACAAACTAATATTCTTTTCCTACAAGGCTGTCATACAGGAAAAGGAGTGATTTCTCTTTTCTTAAAAATATTTTAGTATATTTTCCTTAAAATGTTTGTTGACTAATACCTAGAAATTGATTATGAGCCATCAAGTCATTTTCAACTACTAGTGACCATATAGGTAGACTTTCTCTGTGAAGATCTATCCCCTAATCTGTTCTTTCATGTGTCCTAATGGTGCACTCATTGCCACATAACTGAGTCCATCCACCTTACCGCTGCTTCTCTTTCTTCCACTTTTCCCAGCATTAGAGCTTTTTCAAGACAGCAGGGTCTTTGCACAAAGTGTCTGAAGTAGGATAGTTTTATGCCCTTAAAGATCAAAAACAGCAGCTTAAATTGTGCCTGAAAGACAATTGGTAGCCAATGCAGATCTGCACATTGAGAAGTGACAACTTTGGCTTGATTTGTTCAATCTATCGGCTTGTTTGAAAGGAACCTAAATATAAAAAGTTAAGGAAAAAAAATACCCCATCCCCAAATATTCAATTGTGTCTTCTTACACAGAAATTTTAAACTTTAAAAGTGCAATCACATCAAATGAGGAAACATACAAATTGTATGTTTTATATCCAATTATTTATTTAAAATTTGTTTCTCCTACCAGTACAGCATTAAACACATACACTGAATTTTTAAAAAAAGGTATCATTTACATTGGTCAAATTATATCAAAAGTATAATTGAACAAAATCTTCAAGTTATGCAAAATTATTAGAATAAAACAGTCATAAGAATATTACCCTCCAGCCAATCTCAGACACTTCAACTTACAGAATAAATAAGCAATTTTGTTACAAAATTCCTCATCATTTACCATGCAGCAAAATATGTGGCAGAAAAATGTTGGTGTAGTAGCTGCCCTCAAACATCAGATTGCAAAATTCTACCTAGTCTTTGAGTATCACAAATACTCAATGCCCATATAACCGGTAAACACATGTACAAATAAATGGCACCTACATAATCTGCAAATTCAATCTTAAACGCATTTACACACACTGGTTTGTAGTACCCTATCTCAGAAAATGACATTTACACTCCACTGAAATAATGAGACTTCAAATACCTATGTCTTCCTGTGATCTGTATGAATCATTTCTGTTAAACCCAACCCACGTGTTGGGTCTGGACTGTCTATTAGTCTCTGTGATCCTCATATTGCAGCATCCCAATCAGTTTGGCAAAAGAGCCACTCCCCAAACACACAGGAAGTTTCCATTTTGTGGGTTGAATGACCACTTTTTGGGAGGCTTTTAGGTAATTCTTTTTCATTTCCTAGCAATCCTTTAAGCAAAAAGTATGACATCAGAAAGTATGCAATGTCTAAACTGAAACTTCCTTCTTGAAAACAGCAAATATGTATTTATTTTTAAGCAGTACAAAATAAAACTTCCTCATACAACTTCCTATATTTGGTACAAAACTATCAAGAAACTAAATGGGCCCTCTCATTCATATTTACAATTTCAGTTTGTGGGACTCTAAAAAACAACATGGCTTTTGGCAACAAGGAAAAAAAGCATGCTTTCCAGAAAAAATGTGTTTGCTATTTGATTATTAGTTTTTTCCTAAAATTAAGATGCTTTCCTAACTTCAAGTCAGTTTCAATGTCGATATTTTAATGAGCCACTTCCAAGTCATATTTAAATGCTGTTCGAAATATTTTTTTAAATTATTTTAAACACATATTTTAAGAGGCATATTTCATTACTATTATAAAATGGACTATAGTAGCAGCTCTTAAAGCAAGATTCAAGCATTCTAGAAGGGTGTTCAAGGAAAAAGCTAGCCTTCTTTTTCAAAGATGTTCACCACTTTTCCAAAAACCTGAAAGAGATATTATGAAACAATGTTTGTATATAATATCAATAAGAACACAGAATACATTGTGAAAAATGAGCAGCCTATCGAGAGTTTACAGAGCAATTCTGTATTCAGTTCTTCAATTCTTCTAATCACTTTACACATTACACTTAGTTTTCTATTACACAGTAGTACACTGGCATAACAACCAGCATAAGATGGTTGGGCATAACTTTCAGAGCAAAGTTAAAGCAATGGAGAGTTTAGTTTGGAAGCCCTGTCCCAATTTGTTCAAATAAAGAAAAATTGATTGCCGATGTTGCACATTATATTGCACATTGGCTAAAGAAATGCATTTCATGAAGTGTTTATTAAAATAAAATAATGCATTCAACTTCCATAGCAGTTTTGTATTTTAAAAACACTTTAATTCTTCTTTTTAAAAAATTGTTAATGTGAAGAAGAGACACTTTATAGAAGCATGCTTTTATTTACTACGTTTCTGTAAGCCAATAACTGAAATTCTCTGGTCAGATTTAAAAATACACACACATTGCAATGTTTCTAAACATGTAAAAAGTAGACAACATACACACAGACAAATACATACACACATACTGTACATCCCTAGTGTATTTAAAATAGCCAGTTGGGTATAGTGTTAAAGGAACCAGAGTAGAACTCGGAGACTGTGAATTCTAATCCTGTTTTAGGCACAAAGTCTGCTGGGTATCTTTGGACCAGTCACTATCTCTCAGCCCTAGAAAGCAGGCAGTGGAAAAGCTGTTCTGAAAATGTTGCCAAGAAAACTTTCAGATTGAGTCAAAATCAAAGAAAAAAGTGGGCTTTAACATTTTTTTAAAGGCATAAATATAGGTGAAATAAAACTTACTGGTAAATTAGCTTTTTAGTCATCAATATTTGCATCTGTCAATCACAGAGAGATAGAATCTCCATCTTCACCCTTATTAATTGTCTGCTCTATTAATAATTTGTTCATCATTTTGGAATTTAAACTGTAAAAAGCTATGCTTTTTTGAATCAGATAGTGTGAACTCTTTTCAACTGTTAGCTATGGAGTAATATACTAAAGCTCTTTGATTAGATATCAGGAGCAATTTGTCCTTTTCCTGTATATCATCATTTACAGTGATCCCAGAATTTTCAGCAATGGTGGTGAATTCCACACATCTGAAGGTTACCTGGGTTGGGGAAAATACTATACATACTTTTATTCTTTGCCATATTCTTTGCCAATACCTGTGTTTTAAAAGCATACTTTTTGCTGCTTTAAATTGCTGTTTTTTACTATGAATATATTATCTTGTTCATGTATAAAAGCCTCAAGAAATATTGCACAACATACTGAATTTTTAATAACTTATGCCCCCTTAAATCAATGATCTCAAAACAGAATATATTGTTGTATCAATAGGATCTTTTTAAGACTGACAAAAATTAATTGGATTTTACTTGATATACAAGAGAAGCAGGTATTTGAAAAATACAAAACCCCAGAAGCAATTACATATTAAGTATTAAGCAATTTAATCCCAAACTTTTTGTTTTTGCAACTTACTTCATCAACAGATTTGGAGGCATCCACTTTCCTAACTTTTCCCATTGTCTCATAGAGGTCTATTATGGGCTTAGTAGACTCTAGATACGTATGAAGTCTAAGATAAAAATAAATAAAACAAGAAATCATTTAACTGAAAAACATCGAAAACCCCAAACAGTAAAATTCTGAATGCACACTGTACCTTTTCTCCAAACTTTCCCTGTTATCATCACTTCTGCCACTGCTTTTTCCTCTTTCAAGACAACGATTAATACATATCTTTAAAAAGAGTAAAAATAGAGGTTAAAATTCTATATTAAACATTTTACAAGCAGAAACTTAAATCTGACGTATGTGAGATTAATTGCCTAATAGTTTATGCAGAGTATCCTATTTGATGTTCTACACATCAAATCTACACATCAACAACAAATACTGTCCATGTTCTTCTGTAATGCCAATTCTACAGGGTCATTTGTCATCAGTTTATTACTCCTTTATTTAAATTTGTGGCGCACTCAGATAGTGCACTGTTAATGCAGATAGTGTATTTGCACTGTTAAATAATTACAGTAATTTTTCTCTGTCTAAAAGCAGCAAAATGTTGCCACACTATGTGTAAACTTCACCCACAAATGGTTGATAATAGTTCTTGTTTTTAAGGGATAGTTTTGTGTTCTTCATTTTATTGATTGTATTGTTATTGATCAACCAAAATAAATTTCTATTTGTTTACTTTAAAAACTATCACTGTGATAAAAACTGAGGCTTTATTACCAGGTATTTTAATCATGATGTGCATTTACTTTGGACAAAGCCAAACTAAAACTGTTTGGAACTTTAAACCTTCTCTGAAACAATGTAAATTATCTCTTCTCAAAAACATTGATCTATTGTGAATAATATAGTCAGATAGCATGCAGTGTATAAATATGGACATACTCCTCACAAAAAAAAGGAATGTCAAATGGAGAGAAACACAAAATGTATACACAGTTAACAAATCTTGTCTTGTGATTTAGGTTTGACTGAGAAAGATGATGGCTATCTTGGGTTTGTGAATCACATTGCAAATTGCCTCTGCTTTGTTTATCAATCATACCAGGCACAAGAATAAAAATTAGAAAATTGTCAACATTTACCAGTCAGCAGCTCATTTATAGTTAGGCAGAAATTGTGAATAATTCTGAATTATGTACAAGGATGGCTGCTATATTATATAAGATTCAGACCCAAATAAAGGAAATTGTAAAGAATAAAATGAAGCAATCAAAGAAAAAGGCAAAATGGAACTATAAACATTTTTTTTTGCCATAATACCACAGTATTTCAAATTTAGAACTGACTTCTTTATACTATTATTTGATGCAAAAAGATAATATCTCTTTTACAACTCTGGTACAGTAATTATTCCAGGAAAGGATAACATTTTTCAGCTTGCAAAATAATTACATAGACATCCTGGGGAAAAATAAAAGAAGTTTAAATATTAACTAACTTAAACCCTGATATGCAATATGTAAGAGAGAAACCTAATAATCTTTATTTGTTCTGTATAAAAGGAAATGTATTAATGTTACCTCATTATCACAGTCAAAAAAGAGAACAAAAGAGACATCTACTTTTCCATCCATTGTTTTATTCCAGCCCTGAAGATTATCTTCATTTCTGGGAAATCCATCAATTAGGAATTTATTCCTCTGAGTGTTAGCTGCCATAGTTTCATCCATAGCCTACAGAACAATAGCTCAGATTAAAACATGACATGAAACAATAATATATGCAACCAATAAAACAGTTCTAATTGGAAACCTTATTTTATTTTTGACACACCCAAATAAAATACAATGTTCTTGCAATCATAATGTTTTAATATCTGAACACACACATACACACACATATACACCGGAACTTTTGTAAAAAAAACCCAACCCATCTGAATTAATTTCCACTATTTAATTATCAAAGAATCTGAAGAGTCTGTGAATAAATTATCATATCATGATGAAAATAACCCACTCGCCATTGTATCCAGTGCCACATGAACAGATTTCTTCATAGACAACAGATCATGTTTTCATTCAGTTTCATTAATCCATGCCTTGTGGAGCTCCTTACTGTTTTCAAGGGGGGTTGGAAAGTGAATGGGAAGAAGGAAGAGTCAATTTCATTGGTAGATAATGTGACTTCAATAGATATTTGGATCTAATCTTTTGAATTTCATTATTCTTTTAACAAATATACAAGTGTAGAATCAGTTTTCATGTTTACAAGGGGCAATTTGGGTTCAGAACCAATGATCTGCAACAGGTGGTTACAAGCATTAGTAACACTTGTCAGGCTTTGTCAAAACTTTTTGAATATTGCTTTACTGTCTCTCCCGAACGTATTGATTATATCTTTATTTGGTTAGAAGATAAGAAGATAATCCTGTCCCTCACAATACTACAGCCTCCTCTGTCGTTTGGCATTTTTTTTCATTTGAAGAAACTGGAAAGATTCAAAGGAGTTTACAAAACGTAGCACACTTCGGGTCTATTTTAGGTCAAAGTATATCAGAGGAGATGAACATATCTCTGAAGTAGAATGCTTCAGCCCAGAATTTTGTCTGAAAAGAGATGTAACACATATCTGTGATGAAATGTAATAGGTTGGATTCTCAGGAGGAAGGGGTGCATTCCAGAGGAATATGAGGCAACTCAGTCCAGATATTTTGTGTGAAACCAAGAGGGTGAAAACAGATTCTCCCTAATAGTTCTCAGAATATATGCTTGCTATAGATAGTAGAGTGCTTCAGTTTGGCAAGATTCTATCTATAAGTGTGGAACAATAAAGAACTCTGCTTGGAAGAATCACCACCACCTGTCTTTCTTGGTTCTTGGGCCTGACAATATCTAATGAAATTATTTTGAATAATTATCTATCCATGGATTTATCTATGTTCATAAAGAGAAAAGCATTATTTCATGAAAAGTGTATCTGTCCATCTGTCAGATGGTATGTAAAAATCCATCTGTCATATGTTATTTTACTATTAAAAGACAAATTAAAGTACATAAATATCTTTTGTTTTAGATTTATATGGGAAATAGAATTAAACTTACCCTCTTTAACAAGCTGATCGTTATGTCAACAGGTACAATCTTCCCATCCTTAATATAATTTTCAATTAGTTCTCCATACTGAGAGCCTGGTCTTTTTCTCTCATCTCTAAGGAGGTCACCCGCAGAAAGATGGGTATAACCATATTTCTAAAGAAAAGAAACCATAATTAAGTTAAATACACATAAAGTGTGGATTAGATAAATGTGCTTTCTTTACATGGTGGTAACAAAGAACTAGCTGTTCTTTCATATATTTGGGCCAGGAAATTAGGTGAGCTCTGCTGAGTGATTGGTTTTATTATTGTTCTTTTCAGTTATAAGTTGGAAATGATTTCTTTGACTTCAAATATTTGTTGTTTGGATAATTGATTTCATTTGATTTTAACTTTTGCATGCCACCCAAATTCATTGATATGAGATGGATTCATTTATATTAGAATATAAACTGAGAGCAAACCTCACTCCTTACTAGCATTGATGATTACCTAGTTTGAGTAATGAAACATCTGTAAGAAAACAATCAAGTTCAGAGAGCACCAAGGACCCCTCATTTCAACCCCAAGCTACAAATACTCTCCTTTATAGATTTCCTTTGAATATTGGAAAATAATTTAAGCTATTTAGATGTTATACAATATAAGATAAAGGCAAATATAAAATGCAGACACCGGCACTTCCATCACATTTCTTTGAAAACAGAAAATTGAAATTCTTGATAAAAAAAAAAATTAAATAAAGAATTTTGTGTATATATTAGTTCTTCAAATTTAGGTATAAATTATACAATATACCAAAATATACCAAAGTTACAAGATACAAAGAACAGTATGGAGAAAAAATGGAAAGCCAGTTTTTCTTGTGGTTAACCTAGTGATTAAGGCACCAGGCTAAAAAACAGGAGACTGAGTTTTAATATGGCTTTAGTTATGAAAGCAAGTTGGGTGACCTGGGGCCAGTCATTCTCACTGAGTGTGTGTGTGTACATACATACACACACACAGAGAGAAATAGATATATGTAACAAACAAACAAATGGAAATAAAGCTAAAATACAAAATAAGTGCAAATAACAGTCTTCAAAGGTTTAAAGGAGAATTACTAAGTAACTGGATGAAATAAAATTCTAGAAAATTAAAATACAAATTTACTAAAATGTTAATCTAACAAAATACTAAAACAGAACCTAATGTCAGAGATTCACAGTACTGTTTCAGATAACAAATATAAAGTCAAATAAAAAGAAAGATCACATATTTTTTAAATCTTCCCACACTTTGTAAGAAGGCACCATGTTCTTCTTTATCTTGTTACTATACCTGGCAAGAAATATTACAACTAAAAACTAGAGGAGTTATGATATACTGTATAATTTGAATACCCTGAAAGCCAGCCCAGAAGAACACTAGCAATAGTACTGAGATTTATATATTGCTTCATAATGCTTTACAGCCCTCGCAAAGCAGTTTACAGAGTCAGTATATTGCAACCAACAATCTGGGTCCTCATTTTACAATGGTTTCTCAGTTCCAAACATTTTAAAAGGTTGATAGTTACACAAAGCCTACTGCAGCCCTCAAATTGATGGAATATTATACTCCTGGTCTAGGCACGTCAAAGCTTTGAAGCTAATCTTATATTTTTGCATCATATTGTATTTATTATTTAACAATAATTTGCAGAAAATTCACAATTGGCAGTATTTACATCACAAAGCCAAAAGATACTCCATTTATTAGATTTACAGTATATATTGTGCTTCCTCTAACTGAAGGCAGCATGCATAGAAGTTTCTCCTTCATTTTTTTTTCCTACAACAATCTTCTGAGATAGGTTGGGCTCAGACTTAACTGGGTCAGTTACCCAGTTAAGTTTACATAACTCAAAGTGGACTTTATGATTAAGCAATCTGTGAATGAATGCAACCTCACTTAATCTCTCTTGCACAGATCATCAAAGACCTTTTCTCCCATGTTTTTTTCCAATTAGGTAAATAGCTACATAGTACACCTTTCCTAAAGCTATGCCACTTTCATATTGCTAATAATGCCAGAATATTTATTTTCCCTTTATTGAAATGTAGTCAGATATTTATTTATAGCATAGCATTTACTATCTCAATCCCAAAGGATCTTACCCTGTGTACAAATGTTATTAACATCTGCTGCTTGCAATTACTGCAAGTTCAAATCTCACCAAGCTCAGGGTTTACTCAGCCTTCCATCCTTTCAAAGGTAGGTAAAATGAGGACCCAGATTGTGGGGGCAATAAACTGACTTTGTATAAATATACAAAAGTATGAAGGCTATTGCTTAATGCATTGTAAGCCGCCCTGAGTCTCCGGAGAAGGGTGGCATATAAATTAAAGCAAAAAAAAAATAAAAATAAAAAAAATAAAATAAATTAAAGGTCATTTTCATGTGCCATTAGAAAATATTCAGATTTGCTTAGGTATTTGTCTAATATCTTCTGGTTTCAAACTTGAATCTACATTAAACTATTAATCCAAATTTCCCCAAAAGTTTTTACCACAATTATTGGTTGGGGTTCAATGTACATTGTTGAGATTAAAAAATTCACACTTTGGCGAATTACTTTAGGGAGACTGATAGAAACCACTGCAGATAACAATATTTAGCCTCTCGTTTATTTTTCTGCCAACACGGCACCACCATCTAACCAGGAATGAAGGAAAAAAGTATCCAAGGTCATAGCCAAGGCAAATCTCACGCAGAATAAGGATCGGAGTTTGATTTTTCCGGGCATTTCTGCGTTTCCTGAGTAATCTATTTGAACGTTGCTATATACAAGCCTCCTCTCAGGCTTGTATAAAAAGAGAATCATTTACAAAAGGAGAGAGAAATGCCCTATAAATAAGAATCGAAACGACAAAGATGAAGAGAATTTGTAAAAAGAAAAAAAAAATACCCGCACCAAGTTCGCCCCATTTACCTCACATTTCCCCAAGAGTTGAGTTTCTGAGTGTACTGAATTATGCTTTTTTTTTTTTTTTTTTTTTTGTAGTCACCAAGCCCTGATAACAGTTCTGGAGCACCCGCTTTTGATAGCGTAACTGAACCCGTCAGATTCGGCACCATTTGGAATACAGCATTGTAAGAATCTTCCGGACCTCAAACCATTAAAGAACTTCAGGCCCCATCATTCTTTGCGCTCCGACTAAGCAAGTTGCCGGCACTCTTCGAAATGCACCGCCTGCTACAAATTGTAGTTCTTTCCCGACAGTAAGGAACGGAAACGCGCGCGGGGGGGGGGGATGGAACGGACCACGAAGCGCTATTACCGTCCCTTACCTCCACAATGCGGGCACACTGGGTTCCCTTTCCGGCTCCAGGCCCGCCGAGAACGAACACAACGACCGGCTTCATGAGGAGCAGCAAACGAGGTGAAAGGGAGGAAGCAGCGGCGAAAGCGTGGAGACGAAGGAGCGAAGCAGTTACGCGACCGGCAGTTGCCCCAAAGAGACGACGACAAAACATACGCCGCCAAGAAAGAGGGAGGGAAACGGGGGGGGGAGGATCCGGCCACGACTACAGTCAAGCCGCCGACTCCTCCGGCTGAGCTGGCTTGTTAAAGTGTCACCAGGAAGCGAAAGCGCTTCCGGGTTCCCACCCTTTCCGTCGCTCTTGCTGGTGCGAAGAGAGAGAGAGAGGCAGGCCTGGTGGGGGCGGGCCAGGATTAGCGGTTGTGAAGGCAATTAACAGTAAAGTTCCCTGTGAAGGGCTGGCAGATGGGCGGCTGTCAAGGAACCAGTAAGGTCGCTTTGGAAGAACAGCTTCGATTCACTTGATGAAATCTAAAGGAGTTTGGCTAATGTCGATTTCATTGAGAAACAACCCTTGTGCTGTAATACAACATGGTATATAATACGTCTTGTACTACCTCTAGTACGAGGTATGGTTTTTGTGTTGTGTTTTTTTTAAAAAATATTATAAACCACCCAGAATCACCTGTCTGAAAGTTGGGCTGCCATATAAGCTTAATACATACATAAATTTAATAAATAGTGTTTGTTAAAAACCTAGATGGTGGATTTTTGCATGCTGCAATTTGGTCTCCCAAATGTTCAGTTCTGATTATTTTTTGCCAAAACAGCCCAATCCTATCTTACTATATGATGATTCAAAAGAAAGTGCCTCTAACTTTAATTCTATGGTCCAAATCTATTTGGCTTATTTGAGGGTATAAGAACACATCGAAATAGCAAAGGGATCCTTTAGCAGATATTTGGTATGATTTTTGGAAACCGCCATTTTTCAATTGGGTTCTCTATTCAAAACGTTGAAATAAATTTAAAACTATCATTGAGAAGTGAGCTGATTTTAGAGAAGTCAGTCAGTTGAGAGATGTAGATAAATGTAGCTCATAAATCTATGGAAATGTTCTAGTGCTGAATTTTAAAAGTATGTTTTATTTTAAAGTTCAAACAATAAGCCAGGTAAAGAAAATTGTAGTTGCCAAAACTTAAACCAGTTAAGTAGCCTCTCCATAGATTAAAATTCATAGTTTGTAATTAAGAAATTCTTTGTTCAATATGGCCAGAAAATTCTTTTTCTCTAAGTCAACACAATGACTATTTTTATTTTCCTAAAGTCTTGTGTAAAAGGGCACAATTGCCCATTCAAGAGATTTATTGTGGTATATAAAGCAATATAATTATTGTAGAGGAAATAATTAATTTGGGTATGAAAACTAACAAGGACACAAGCTATAATACTTAGAGCAGTCTTTCTCAATTTGATGTTCTTCAGGTGCGTGGTACTTTCACATAATGCCATGAAATATGTTCGGTTGCATTAATGCTAATAAATTCAGAACCTAGTCTATTGTAATGCCCCTGGAAAACAAGAAAGATAGATCTCTTTGTTGTTTTCTAGTGATGATATCCCTGTTGGTTTGTGACTCAAATACCACCAGCTTTAGAGCAGTGTTTCTCAAGTTCAGCAACCTTAAGAGGTGTAGTCTTCATGCTGGCTGGGGGAGATTCTGTAAGTTTGAAGTCCACACCTCTTAAAATTGCTGAGACTGAGAAACACAACTTCAGAGTGAAAGAAAACCTTAAATGCCAGCAGTGGCACCAATCAGGTTATTCCAGTGTTACAAACTACATAACAGCGCTGCTTCTGCCCTTTACTTATCTGACAGTAGATGTAGAGAAAGTAGTCATAACTATCAAATTACTTCTCGTTTGTATTTATGGAGCTGTTTTCCCAGCAACTTGAAAGAGGCTGCAATCCTATACTCGTTTACCTGGGATTAAGCCCCACTGAACTCGAAGGGCCTGAGTAGGACGCTCCTAATCCCAGCCAACGTACCTGAGATTTACTTCTGAGTCAGTATCTAGGATGTAAAATCGTTAACAGTCCTTTCCTAATTATGTTTGCTCAAAGGTGTTTGCGATTACGGCTGCTATCTTTGCTGGAAGCCTTAGAAGCGATTACTATGGCAACAAAAAGAACTGCCCCATCTTGCTTTTAACCTTGGCGCTTGCGCAGTAGCTGGGCTTCTTGAGGCCGTTTATAAGAAACCTGTTTTTAAAATCCCACCCTTAAAGAGATGCGCGCGCGCGCGCGCGCAAGCTTAAAAGGCGGTTTTATTTCACTAAGAAGCTTGGTCATTGGTTACGACAAACCGATAAGCGGGAGCGATGGTTTTGATTGACGCTAAATGAACGATTCGAAAAGGGTGGTGGGCGGAGGAAAGCGCTTGTTCAAAGTGTGGATTGGCTAAACTGAGTTGCCGTGAGGGTCTTCGGATTGGCTAATTGTGCCGCCATTGGAGCCGCCACAACAGGAGGGGAATAAGAATTCAGTTGCTTTGATTAAATAAATTGTGTCCGGCTCTGGCGACCCGGGAATAAAAACGGAGTCTGAATGAGAGTTGTGAGGTAAATGGGGCGATATTGCTTTTGAGGCGGGTTTTTTTTTAAAACAAATTCTCTTCATCTTTATCGTTTCGTTTCTTATCTATAGGGCATTTCTCTTCCTCTTCTCTTATCTTTAGGGCGTCCTCTGAGTCTCCCTTTTTTATACAAGCTAGCAGTATCGGTTACTAGGTTACTCAGATAGCGCAGAAGTGCCTGGGGAATTCAAACTCCGATCCTTATTCTATGTGGGATTGCCTTGCCTATGGCCTTGGATACTTTTTTTCCCTTCCCTTCTGGCAGAAAAATAAACGAGAGGCTATAATATTGTTACCGGCGGTGGTTTCTGTCAGTTTCCTTAAAGTTATTCGCCAACGTATGGATTGCTCGTCTCTCAACAATGTACATTGAACATGAACAATTTGACTCATGATTAGCTTCCCCCCCCCTCCCAATAATTGTGGTAAAAACGCTCGGGGCTACCAATGAGGTTACGTAATCAAAGCTGTTCAGAGTATGCATTTTTATTATATTTATTTGCTGCCTCTCGTATCAAAACAAGTCTTCGTGCTTCAGAAACAATATGAAAGAATTGCATTAATAATTAAAGGCCTAGGATCTGGGGACATGTATGTTCATCAGTGTTTCTTATTTGGTTAGATGTCATTTTTTATAGCCTCTTGTTACCTCTCTGCAACTTGTGGTATTTGGGAAGCATCTTTCTTGTAATTTAACTGTGAGGCTTTTATGTCACTAAATCCAATCTCTTGCTCGGTATAGGCTCTAAATGAATGCATTCTTGATAGGTGGGTATCTAGCCTCAGTCTGAACCCAACCAATTGAGAGGTGGTCACATTTCTTAGTAATTGGCTTCACTATTCATTTCTTCCATTTACTAAATAATTGTTTTCCTAAACTGAACCAAAAGCTGGTGCAAATATCTCACATTTATTGAACTAGGCGTAATATCTTAGATGGAATCTGACCAATTGAAAATTGGTCATTTGAATCAAGAACTGTACTGATCCTTAGATAAAGAAAAATAACAATGTAGCTAATAACAGTATTTCCTTTTTCAATAGCATGGTACATTACTGACCCATATTCTGCTTATGGTTAAGCACAGTTCCAAATTGGTTTTCATATAAACTATTCCCAATATGAATATTCCCTCCAATAGGCATTCCCATCCTATTTGCTTTACTTTTCCTAGGGAAAGAACTCTGCATTTGTATCTCATCTCCCCAGTTTTATTAAATTTTGAGTTTTGTTTGAGTATTAGCTTCATAATTTGAACAAGAAACTGACATGAAAGGACTATTTTGCAATAAATGACAGAATAATGAAAAGTCCACCTTCACTCCTGCTTTATGCCTCCTAGAAAGATCTACAGTTTATATATAGAAATCTTAATATTTTCTTCTGGACCCAAACAGTGATACTGCTATTATTCTTTCCTTCAAATATTTAACCCACTAAGGCTTCAGATGTGTCTGCTTTCTTGTTTCATAAGTTTAAAAGCCTTGTTTTGATCCATGTCATATGCATATGATCTACTTCTACTAAGCTTAACATGGCTTGAGAACTGGGTTCTTGGAGACTGTCTGCTTCCACTCATAACTGCCCGCTCAGTAAGATTGGAGGGATGGGGTGGGGATAGGCTTCCTCCTGGGTCCCTACTCTTCTAGAAACTTACTTTCCAGTGTCTAAAAATGGGTTATATCTCCTACAAAATAGTGTGATTTGCTTGGCTTAGAGCAGCTCCAGCCTTTTGAAGTTTTTAAAGGCCATGGTTGTCCAAGAAGCCTTTGGGGACTGAAATGAATATGTCATACCTCCCTTCCCACAAGACTGATAGCCTATATTAAAGTCTTTATGCATTAGGTTTAATGATGATTACAGAACATTGTTGCATTAGTTTAATTCTTGTTACCAGGTTGGTTATAAGTGAAGCCCGTTTATATTCTTGAGTAATTAGAAATCAGGAAAATCACTCAACAATTTCACAATGAATCCTGCTGTCGGTTTATTGTCCATATTTCCTATTCATATAAATTGCTGCAACATAGCAGATATAACTACAATTTTTAGGAATTGTAAATTGTAGTTATATTTGCTGAAGTATAACTATGCTGAAATTAAAATATATCTGTTTTAGGATTAATTATAGTTAAAAATAGAAGTTTCTGCTGAAAAAATAATGCCAAAAATTAATGCCAATTAACGTTCCTGTGTTACGTTTTCTTACAGAGTAGAAAACTTGAGTTTCATACATAAGTATCATGGAATCAATTTCCCCTGAATCTCAAAACCAAAGGTATTGATATTTTATTCAGATGCAATGGTTTTAAAGACTACTGATACGGAATTTGTTTTTTTCTGTAGTATTGATTAGTAGTTTTGTTTAGTAGTTAAGTACTAAACAATTTGTCTGGAATTTCCAGACAAAAGTAGTTCCTTATTTACAGTATATAATTATGGACACTAAAATGAAATATCTGAATATTGGTCATCATTAAAGCGCTCCATGGCATAGGACCCAGGTACCTTCGAGACCGACTTCTGCCACCAATAGCCTCCCACCGACCAGTCCCCTCCCACAGAGAGGGTCTCCTCAGGGTGCCATCGGCCAAGTTATGTCGGCTGGCGACACCCAGGGGGAGAGCCTTCTCTGTGGGAGCCCCAGCCCTGTGGAACGAACTGCCCCCGGAAATACGTAAGATCTCCGACCTCCGGGT